ATAAAACACAAAGCTCGAGCCCAAGCAATATGGCCTCGAGACCGCCGCATGGCATGGTCTTTAAATGGAATAGTGATTTCCTCACCAGTTTCTGGTGCCAATCGTTTGAACACTATGTCTCTGATTCTGTTGTGAATTAGCCCTATGAAATATTTATATGATACGCGCCTGTATGCAAATATTATATCATTTCACACAGCAAGATCGATCAATTCAGTTTAGAATCCAATGCAGTATAACATTACATGGTGCACATACGGAACCCAAAAAAGCAGTTTAAAGCACAAAAAAAAAAAAAAATTTTGACATGCTTATATTTAACTTACTGCAGCGTTAACTTTAAGCATGTTTTTTTCAATATGTTTATATACATATTACATTATGTTTAAATATATGCACAGCAGTGCTTTACCACTTTTTACCAAATCATAAAATCAGCATTAGTATGTGACAATATAATTTATTTATCAAAGACCTCAAACTGCTATTTTTTCAGAATCCAGACTTTGAAAAACTAACATGAAAGTAAATAGTCTAGCGGTTCAACAAATAGTAGTTAACAGCCTAGCGTCCTCAACCTTTAAGAATAAACAGCCAAACGTCTCAACATTCCAGAGTAACCAGCTAAGCGTCTCAATATTTAAGAGTAAACAGCCAAGCGTCTCAACATTTCAGAGTAAAGTAATTGCAATTGCATTTTATAGTCTAAGTTTCATGCTTGCGCACGTTCACCGACTTACAGCTATTAACCCTGGTCATCGGGCTACTATGGTATCTATCTATCAATCTCCCTGGGTGGGGAGTCTTTTAACTCCGCTTAGTTCAGCCGACACTTTGGCACAACGGAATTATACCACCCTCGCAGGTACCCATTTACACCTGGGTGAAGTGAAGCAATCGCAGGTAAATTTCTTGCTCAAGGGAATTAGCAGTGCCCCTGGTGGGGTTCGAACCCAGGACCTCTCGATCACTAAGCGCGCGTCCTACCACTGGACTACTACTAGGGTGAACAGCTAAGTGTCTCATCAGAGTTCAACCACCAAAAGGTTGTGGCAGCATTAAAGCCAATACCCTAGCCAATACCCTGGCTTTCCTCGCGAACATGATAAGCAATGGGCTTTAGCCTGCTATGTCTCCAGGTGAGCCAAAATATTTCAAGCAAATCAACCTTGAGATGAATGTACAGAGTGTTTAAGAAATGTAAACATATTCACAATGCAAGAAATAATTAAATGCTCATGTATGTAATTAATGGCTGATTTTGGAGTATTTATCAACAACATTTCTACTGCGTGACTTATACTTTTAACTAACTTTTCTTAGCTACTTGGGGGTATTATTTGTAGATTTTAAAGTACCATTGCAATGTGTAAATTATGCTCTTTATTCACTTGACAATATTTTACTTTGTAATACATTTCAAATCAAAGCACAGAATGCGCTGAATTTGTTTGGGTCTCAGAATGTCAGAAAGGTGAATGTTGTGAGATTATAAACCAATTTGTTTTTGTATAGTGCCACCAGTGCTTTCCAGTGTTTTAATTGTAGTAAATTGCCTATAAGACTAAGTGCAACACTGATATTCAATTCAATGTTTATTTAGCTTAAACAATTTATAATAAAAAAAAAACGAAAAAAAACAAAACAACAACAACAACATAAGTTGCCTTATCTGGGATTTGAACTCTAGACCTCTCGGTTCCTACTTTAAAGTTCATTCTGACTTGCCTTTTAACCAAATAATTGTTGAAGACTTTTTATAATAATGTATAATAATATTAGAAATTATAATATTTAAACACAGGTATCTTGCAAGTAAAGCGCTTAATGATAACAAACCTAACGTTGAGATTCCAACATATTATAACACTAGAACCGATTTCGAAGCTGTAAATGCTGTGACTTATAATTACGACGAGACTTTGAGTAATAACAGGATCCCGAGTAATGTATACAATGGTAATTGATATATTATTTACTTGATAAATCTAATATAATGTTTAATTTAAGTACTTGATTTAAGTACTGTTGTTCATAATATAATATTATTATATATATTTATTGATTGTTTATTTATTTATTTATTTTTCAGATATAAGAACAACATAGACGTAAGCGAAATGAATTGATAGACTGATTTTTTGTGTTTTCTTATTCGATACACATTTTATGGTGGTGATATAAGCTTTATTTTCTTAATTCAAAACATGCACGATAACGAGGTTGCATTTTGTCCCTTAGTGCGTTAACACAAGAGGTTTTTAACATCCATTTTAGCTTATTCACATGTTGATTTTTTCGTGAATGCTTTATCTTAATGTTAAGTCAAGTAAATTTGTTTATATATAAGCGATTGAAACCTGGAAATTAATATTTCAGAATTCCTTTAAAATTGCGTCGAGTTAGTGTCACTTGCCTGTCTTTGTACTGTACTTTTTTATCATATCATATTTATTGCATATATTAAATTATCAGGACTATAACATACAAACATTTTAACAATCAACCTATCATGATACACGCAATGGATTTTGACTGAAGTACTTCGTGCTTTTTCAAGCCAGTCTCCATAATTACAATTACAATTTAAGTAATATATGGCTGGTCGATTAACTTGTAAATAGCACATTATCACATTACGAAGTGTGTACCACAACCGCCTTTATTGATTATATATCAAAATACTTTGAAAAATAAAACACAAATATAGGTTTTGTTGTAAGGCACTTAAAAAATTAGTAATAAATAATAATAATAATTAAATATATATTAACAGAAAAAACTTAAAGAAAGAAAAAGACAAGAAGAAAGAATTAGATGACACCAACGCTTAGAGATTTGGAAACAAATGATATTTTTGGGCACATACACAGTAATTAACTAAAAATTAATTCATTTACTATGTACTAATGTTTAGGTAATAGAAAGAGCATCGAAACACGAGGCTATATGATTTGAACGAGGGGGCGTAGCCCCCGAGTAATAATCAGATTGCCAAGTGTTTTGATGTTCTTTCTCTTTTGTATCATAGTCAAACATAAAAACACGTTCCCTGTTCCACAATATAAAACCCCAGAATAAAGGAACCAATGAACGAGCATCTGAATATGATATTTCTGTCGCTTTCCCTTTCTCTACCATCACAATAAGTTAACCCCAGCAAAAATGAGCCAATCAATGGGCATGCTCTGGAGTGCGGGTAACTAATACCTGAACTCCAGTTAACGCACTGTGCATGTATATGTATACGATTTAACTCTGACACATTTTATACGGAAAGGTCCCCAAACTATGATACAATTAAATCTTAGATTCTACTATGCGATATATATATCTTTATTATCATTATCATTATTTAATTTATTATAATTCATCAGTAAAGATAAGCAAATCTCTCACGTCAACTAAATCTCCCACTATCCATTAATCCCATTGAACACCTTTACGATAATTTGACCCAGCGTGTTAACAACGTCGTCTTTCACCGCTAGACGTCATTCAGCTTATACAGGCCTTTATTCAGGAATGTAACAACATTCCACAAGCTGATCCATTTTATGCGCCAACGCAGCCAGACAGTCCTTCTTGCTGAAGATGGTCATACCTGATTTTTTTTTTTTTTTAGATTACAGCAAACATTTTATCTTTTAATAATACTTTTTGTTATAAATTATAATACATTTATCACCATATTTTTTTGATATTCAGACAAGAAGATAATTGTTATTACCGTTTACAATACATGCACGTTGTTTATATAATGTCTAATTATAATTATATATTCAATATAACAATATAAATTTTATTGTTCATTTGTATTATGACAAATCTTTTTTCTTTGGCTTGGCAATACATGCAAAAGATACACTTAAACTTTAAATATATTTATCAAATAAATATATCAATTATTATATTAAATACAAGTTACATATTAGAGGACAAACCGGTATCGACACATTCCCGCGATTTCATGAGGATACATTCTATATTCCCTCGACTACATTGGGACATTTCCTATATTCGCCCGAGTTTATAATGAAATGTTTTACATTACCTCGATTATATAAAGACATATTCTAGATTACCTCGACTACATTAGGACATTTTCTATATTCGCCCGATATTATAATGACATTTTTTACATGACCTCGATTACATAAAGACATATTCTATATTCACTCGTCTACATTAGGACATTTTCTATATTCCTCGATTACATAAGGATATTTTCTAAATTCCCTCGATAAAATAAGGTCATTTTCGCCAATCCCTTGATTACATAAGGATATTCTCTATATTTCCTCGGTTACATAAGGACATTTTCTACATTCCTCGATTAAATAAGGACATTTTCGCCATTCTTTGACTACATAAGGATATTCTCTATATTCCCCCGACTACATAAGAACAATTTTCTTCGATTACATAAGGACATTAGTTTTGCTATATTCACTCAATTACATATAAGGACATTTTTATTCAATTACATAAGGACATTAAATTTGCTATATTCAATCGATTACATAAGGACATTTCCTATAATCCTCGACTACATTAGCACGTGTTTTGTATTCCCACGGCTACATAAAGACAATTTCTATAATTTCTTTGATAACATTACGACATTTTCTGCATTCCATCGATTACATTAGAATTTTCCACAAAAGCATTTCTTTAATCCTCTTTTTCATTAAAGCGTGTTCTTTATTCTTCTTTTACATGAAAGCAGTTTGTTTTATTTATTTATTTTATTATTTCATTTTCATTTATTTATATTTTTTATTTTTGCTATTTCGGTTAGGGGCTGTGTGCATTAATTTTACATTATAGCCTTTACTTTATGTCTATAACTTTAAAGCGTTTTCTGTATTAATATCAATTCACTCTATTACATAAGAGTTGTTTTCTCCCTCGATGAGCCTATATATAACATAACAGAACAAGATGCAAGCAATATCATAAAAGTCATCTTTTTTTTAATTATTAAGAAAAAAGTTGATAATATAAGAAAACATTTGCAAGAGGTTAATCACAATTGGAAGTTTGATCATAATTATGCTGTTCCTGTTCTCCTAAGTGTTTGATATGATTTTATATTCCTGAGTTTATAAACCTTAATTATTTTCCCGCGACATTCTCGATAAAATGTTTCATTTTTAACTTGTCCTGCATAAATGGCGTAATTGTAAATGCTCCAACTCGTATGCATGATGAGGTCGGTATTTATCCTCATCATTGTTAAAACAGACCTCTGCAGGTACAGAACAGAACAGAACAGATTTTGTTTGATGAGACTTTCAAAATAATCCTAGATGACCATGTCTATTTGTATATATCTATATTGTGTCTCTGTGTATTGTCAACCTCGCGAATAGTTCCTCAATCAAGTTTTATCTTATAATTAATCTTACATAAAATTGTACTATCATATGAAATGCACTTGATTTGATAAGTACTTGATTTTATCCGAAAATATAACTGTACAGTGTTTTTTCAGTTTGAATTCATCGATGTGGGCGTTGTATGTTATTGTGCAAAATGTTTGTATCATGTTAAGACTGGAGTAGAAGATGTTTCAAAAGTTATAAAATCGTACAGTTGAAGATCTCGCAGACACATTTCACGCAGTCACATACCCCGCAGACACATGCCACGCAGTCACATACCCCGGAGTCACATCCCCCGCAATCACATCCCCCACAATCACATCCCCCGCAATCACACCCCCCGCAATCACATCCCCCACAATCACATCCCCCACAGTCGCAATTACTGCAATCACATATTTCACAGTCACCATCACTTGTTCTGTCTCCATTAGAATCGCCACTGATAGACACACAACGGCAACAAAAGCAAGAAAGACATACAGTGCCTTCGTCCTCGCTACCTCTGTAAGCAGCATGGTTGTGCCTGTTTTCTTGCTCCCTGTGTTCATTTTGCGTGAATTCTACGTTGTTACTACTGTTGTAAGCAGCATGGTTGTGCCTGTTTTCTTGCTTCCTGTGTTCATTTTGCGTGAATTCAACGTTTTTACTACTGTTGTAAGCAGCATGGTGGTGCCTGTTTTCTTGCTTCCTGTGTTCATTTTGCGTGAATTCAACGTTTTTACTACTGTTGTAAGCAGCATGGTTGTGCCCGTTTTCTTGCTTCCTGTGTTCAATTTGCGTGAATTCAACGTCTTTACTAACGGGCTGTGTATCAATATTCATCTTACAACCCGAAGATTAAGTATAATTCAAATGAATGATTTTTACATTAGCATGTAAATATAAAAACTATCCTAGCGTATAACAATATAATGACATAGTATAACAAATCACACTAACGTACATGTATAGTTGATACTTGCACAGGAACTTAAGGTGACAACGGAGTCAATTATCACTGAAAATACCTAAAATGAGATTTTTTGCTAAGTAGATTTATCAACCTTTTCTGAACACATTCGTGATTTAATTTTGGAAGCAGTTAGTCCAAAAAATGTGTTTTTAAACGTTTTAAAACGGTACCTATACTATTTGTAACTGCTACTCGCGTAACCTGTCGATTATCGATAACGCTCCGCCCCCTGTTGAGGCATCAATGAGGGAAATCGGTAGTTCCATATATCCGTGAATTACAGGTCCATACTTCTCGTAATACATGTATCGTACAACTACCGTACATCTTTTATGAATATCTCAACATTTAGCCTTTTTTATAAATTAAGAAATTGTCGGCCAATGTACGTAACATAAATCATTAAGCATAGCGGCAAATCGCACAACCACGGGGTTGAATAAAAATGTAGTTGCTAAAATATCCATAATGTGTGAAAATAATTTGTCTGTCCCGTTAATCTGATAGATATTACATTGAGTTGATAGACTTTGTACGGATTTAAGGGCTTACTTTACATTCAACCTCGTTTTCTATCAATGTCGAGTAAAACAACAACAAAAACAGACAACATTTTTATGTGAACGCCTATATGACTTGTGGTAAGGTGTACCTGACAAATTTCTAAACCATTTTAGATTGTCTAAGGATGATTATTTCTCTATGAATAAAAAAAAGATATTAAAATATATTTTCAGTGAAAATAAATTGTTCGCCAGTAAATCGGACACAGTACTAATAAATCTGGGACAAAGTATGAAATTTATTGTCTATCCCGGTAGAAACTGGATCTCTATGCCGTGCATAGATGATATTCATAATAGAAGTCAAGAAGGCCATATCATAATGATCGAGTAATACCTTTTATTTCTATTAAAATATGTGAAGCATTATCAATTTGGTGGAAAAAATATATAATATCCTGTTCTTATTTGTACATCTACCATGGACTTTAAAAGACTGTCAGAAGCTCAGTTTTTTGTTATTTTATTTTATATTTTAACAGAATTTCATACACGAATACACAGGCAGAGTGACACTGGTATAATACAATAATAATGCTGATGATAATAATAATAAACTTCAAAAAGGAAACAATTAAATACCCCGCTAGCGGTGCGCAAATGCGTTCCATTTCCCCCCACTGAGTGCCTCAAATTTTACCGATAGTCACGTGACATGTGCGAAAGATACCAGACGAACAGTAAATCACGTTAAGAATTGAAGAAATTTCGGCTATAAACTGATATTAATCAGCAGCTTTTTAATTGGTCAGATGTCACTGGGTCATAAAATGTTGTTAGAGTATGTTACCGCAACTTGTGACCCTCTCTGGTGCGATATTTGTGTATTATGCAATTATTTAGCGTGATCGTAGGGGTCCGAGAGAGAACAGCCGATTTATGACACTTCGTTTGATGCGGGTCGGACTAACTTTGAATCGGCATAACTTTTTTAATAATCAAGCAATTAACATGCGGTTTAAAGCACATGAAAGGAAATTCATTTACGGAGGGAACCGTGTCAGGGATTTTTGTTTGCTCAATCAGCGACTTAATTATCTTTAATTACGTAATATGTATGGTGAAAAAAGTCGCATAAAATGTTTGACGTTACGTAATATTTTTTTGAGAAAAGATAGAAAAAATTTGAGACACGGTTCCCCAGATAATATAAGTAAGGTTATTTTCCAAAAGTTTGATGACAAAAAAATAAAAAATGACTTTGATATGACGATTTAAAATTTTAGGATTTTTATTCAAAATCAATCATTTACAAAAGCATTTTTTTCAAATATGTTATTTTTTATACTGATCAGCGACATTTAATGCATAAAGATTAAATAAATAACAATTATTACTAAAATAACTTGGTTTAAATTACATTTATGTGAGTACCACGGAAAGTGTCTGTTGTCACCTTAAAATTTAATTTTAATACATTTCAAAATATACGAATATTAGTGATATAGCCATTATCTCTATATAGTGTTTTTTATATAGAGATAAGTGATATATCATTAATATACGTATATTTTGCGATGTATTGATTAAATTTCAAGTTCCTGCTTAATAAAATATTTTAGCAACTATGTACCTACAGTCATTGTAGTAAACTTCCTGAACCCGATAAGGAAAAATAAGCAGGTTGACGCTCCTGTGGTGAATCATACAACATGTTGGTGATGTTTATAATAGGTCACACCTCACTGTGTACAAATGTAGTGGTACTGTCCGTTTAGGGTAATTATTTAGTGACAGAACAGAACATATATTTCATTTGAAATTAAGCATATACAGCTCATCTTCATATACAACAAATATATACAAGCATGAATATGAAAAATGGTAAACGCATACCAATAAATGAAATAAACTAGTGAGAGTGTAATACATCACATGTAATATATACAATCCTCTTTAACTTTAAACAATACAACAAGGTGGTGTTATATAGCATTATCCGGTATTCAATGAATCAAATCTTAATTTAAAAGTTTTGTTACAATATATAGCTAATTTTGTTAACACTGACTTCCTTTCTGAATTCAGCAATTCTAAAAATTTAAACATGCTAGGGTTCCTTGTAAAATAGTTGGATTTATATACTGTTTCCTAAGAGAATCATACAAAGAGCAAATCAATACAAAGTGGTATTCATCTTCGATGTCATTATTGTTACAAATAGCACATTTCTGCTCATTTCTATCAATATTATTATGTCTACCCGTTTCTATGAATAAATTGTGAGATGATAATCTAAGTTTAGCTAATATATTCCTTAATTTCATAGATTTAACAACATCCAGGTATTTAGACCTGCTAAAATCGGTTTTTTGATAAGTCTATACAAATACAAAGAAGAACAAAAATGTACATTAGAATGCCAATTTGTTAAATGAATATCTTATAAACGACCACGTAGGACTGGTATAAATATATTTAGCTTAACTGATTCTGGATACATCCATACATCATTAAATCCAGCACTTTGCAAAAGTGCTTTGACTTTAGACAACCAATTTACTGTATTAGACTTTGACTCTATCTCCAATCTCTGACAATTAACAATATAATTAAATATACAAATACTTGTTTTATTTTGATATATTTCTATAAAATATTTAACAATTCTTACATGACGTGAAATATATAATAGAAATCGGCCTACTTCTGCAAACAATGAAAGTGTATATGTTGATATTTTCACATTAAGCAACCATTTACAGAATTTATTCATTGTCAAGTCCACTATTATTGTGTAAAACAGTTATCATATTGTGTTTATTATCTTAAGGCACGCAGGGTTGCTATATAAATTAAAATATCGACAAATTCATCAGCGACATTTAATGCATAAAGATTAAATAAATAACAATTATTACTAAAATAACTTGGTTTAAATTACATTTATGTGAGTACCACGGAAAGTGTCTGTTGTCACCTTAAAATTTAATTTTAATACATTTCAAAATATACGAATATTAGTGATATAGCCATTATCTCTATATAGTGTTTTTTATATAGAGATAAGTGATATATCATTAATATACGTATATTTTGCGATGTATTGATTAAATTTCAAGTTCCTGCTTAATAAAATATTTTAGCAACTATGTACCTACAGTCATTGTAGTAAACTTCCTGAACCCGATAAGGAAAAATAAGCAGGTTGACGCTCCTGTGGTGAATCATACAACATGTTGGTGATGTTTATAATAGGTCACACCTCACTGTGTACAAATGTAGTGGTACTGTCCGTTTAGGGTAATTATTTAGTGACAGAACAGAACATATATTTCATTTGAAATTAAGCATATACAGCTCATCTTCATATACAACAAATATATACAAGCATGAATATGAAAAATGGTAAACGCATACCAATAAATGAAATAAACTAGTGAGAGTGTAATACATCACATGTAATATATACAATCCTCTTTAACTTTAAACAATACAACAAGGTGGTGTTATATAGCATTATCCGGTATTCAATGAATCAAATCTTAATTTAAAAGTTTTGTTACAATATATAGCTAATTTTGTTAACACTGACTTCCTTTCTGAATTCAGCAATTCTAAAAATTTAAACATGCTAGGGTTCCTTGTAAAATAGTTGGATTTATATACTGTTTCCTAAGAGAATCATACAAAGAGCAAATCAATACAAAGTGGTATTCATCTTCGATGTCATTATTGTTACAAATAGCACATTTCTGCTCATTTCTATCAATATTATTATGTCTACCCGTTTCTATGAATAAATTGTGAGATGATAATCTAAGTTTAGCTAATATATTCCTTAATTTCATAGATTTAACAACATCCAGGTATTTAGACCTGCTAAAATCGGTTTTTTGATAAGTCTATACAAATACAAAGAAGAACAAAAATGTACATTAGAATGCCAATTTGTTAAATGAATATCTTATAAACGACCACGTAGGACTGGTATAAATATATTTAGCTTAACTGATTCTGGATACATCCATACATCATTAAATCCAGCACTTTGCAAAAGTGCTTTGACTTTAGACAACCAATTTACTGTATTAGACTTTGACTCTATCTCCAATCTCTGACAATTAACAATATAATTAAATATACAAATACTTGTTTTATTTTGATATATTTCTATAAAATATTTAACAATTCTTACATGACGTGAAATATATAATAGAAATCGGCCTACTTCTGCAAACAATGAAAGTGTATATGTTGATATTTTCACATTAAGCAACCATTTACAGAATTTATTCATTGTCAAGTCCACTATTATTGTGTAAAACAGTTATCATATTGTGTTTATTATCTTAAGGCACGCAGGGTTGCTATATAAATTAAAATATCGACAAATTCATCAATTGTCAGCGTAACGCAGTAGGTAGCGTTGTCAGTTAATCTTCTAGTTAAAAATCAATGCAAGACTGGTTCGGATTGTACTGTTCTATCAAAAATAATTTATATATATATGAAAGAAAGAAAGTCATGAGCGAGAAATTATACATAAAACAGTCGCACGAAAAATCAAAACAATCAAATACGAATATGTAATATTTTTTTCTTGACGTAAAGAAATGTTAAGTGTTGTGTTAATTTCTATTAACTTCTCATTTCACTTTTTTTTGTTTCCAAAAGTTATGCCGAATACTTAACGGAATGAATACATGTACACAAATTGTTTCAACGATAGTACAGTTTGCACGAAATACTCGTGCACTGCACAAGTACTATGACTGCATACTCCACACTATACAGGATTTATAATATCTGTCATATGCTGCGGTTCGGATCGGAATATCCGTCCCAAGGTGACCCGCCCATTGGGCGGTAGCACGGCTTGCCGAGTTACCGCCCATGGGCGGGTAACCGAGGGGCGGATATTCCGATCCGAACGGCAAACATATGTCAGATATTTTTTCTTGCATATTCTACCATATTCCATTATATTAAAATTCTTTATCTTTATTTTCAATGGGAATTCATATCATGACAACCGTAACTACTTTCTTACTACAGCGTATGAAATTGCAACTTCATTCATAACGGTAAAATGACGTCATCTTAAGCGTGCCATTGTACAGCAAGCGACTCATCTGGCACCCCCATGCCAGATGAAATTTCCGGCATGGGTAAAACTAACGGAAACGCCAGTCTGCTATGCAAGAAAAAAATTTATTACCAGTATATTTAAATTATTAGATATTTTAATAATACTACTTTTATTTTCCAATTCATTTACATCTTCAGTAAAATTGAAAAAAGAGGAAACAAAAAGAAAGGAAAAAGTTAAACAAACAACTTGTGAGGCTCGAACTCGTGAAAATAAAATTAATTTGTGTTGCAAGTATTCCCAACGACTTTACCAACTTTGCTATCAAGACATTTAAATACTGATTTTTATCTTTTACTATATTCACTTCCAAAAACTCTGTTTTGCCTATTCAGATAAAGATTGTAAACTTTTGCATACACAAAAAAAATGCAACGTCACTCTCACATTATCATAGCGGCACAGTACTTATCAAAAATGTGAACTTTATCTTCCTGTTTGTTGAGATAATGATCGAAGTATCGTCTTTAAACGAGCTCTCGTGTTAAGCGCATTTTTATTTATACATCTCTGATTTATTGTACCATTTACGTGGTTGTATTCAAATAAGCACTTATTTAATCATTGCATAATAGGTTTGATTCCATTACATAGTCCTTATTCAGTCATAATGATAGATCCGTATTGATTGCACTGATATACACGACCTCAGTTATTTACACGTACTGATGTACGCGAGTAATATGTCCGTAATATTACATAATAATTTTATAGGTTCGGTATAAATGACAATGAGTTAATAGTAACATGAATAATAGGTTCAATTCACGCTGATTTTTATTTGTTTTGGGTCGTCAGACCAAACAAATAATGAGTAGCGAAATTTTCAGAGTTCTAATGCTGTTAATTGCAAACCCCCGAAAGTAGTCCACTTTTTTTGAAGGCGGCTTACTTCCCCTTTATAATGAAAATAACTCCGAAAATTCAGGGGAGATCACTGCGTAAAGATGGTCAGACAGGCACAGTTAATTTTCCACGGCAAAATCATTCCCGGAATGGTCGAAGATTTCTAAATATTGTTTTTTTATTGTATTTTTCTGATAAAAAATAAGTAAAGACAAAAGCGGACATTCCCAATCTCTGACACAGAAGTTTACGACGAACCTAACAACAAGTAGTTCTCAAAACAGCTTAAAACTAGCGATTTAAAAGAAAGAAATATTTTTATTTTGTTACAAGTATCCAACAAATTACAGCGCATTCAAAGTTTAAAAATAGCGTTGGCATATAGAATTGTCAATAAATGCACAATCACAAATTACGCGGATGAATATGATTTTATCAATGAAAATACTATTTTTAGCGATGTCGACAGACCGAGTAGTGGAATATATAGATTCTACATGTTGGACTGTTTGGGCGAGAAGATTTTCGCTAAATTAACTACTTCAATTTTAAACAACAGGTTTATCCTGAACAAAA